GACGCGGGGCTCCGCGGGCGATCGGAAGCCCAGAATAGGGGCAGGGGCCGCGGTGGGGCGCTGGCCACCTCAGAAGTCCGCCGGGATCCTGGCGCGAGGCCTGTCCTTTGCAGAGCTAGGGACGCGCGGCACACGATGGCGGCTGCGGCGCTGGCGAATGTTCGGGCCCCGCCTGGGCCCCCCGAAGGGGTCGAGGCGCAGAGGAGGGGGCGTGCCTCTGCAGGCGGGCAGAGGGCGGGGCCCGCGGGGGGACAGCCGTCGGCGCCGGCGCACTGCTTGCCTGCTGTCGCGGGGCGGAGCCTGGTCCCGGCTGGGGCGCGCTGAGGTTCCGCTCCCTGTACCCCGCCGCTGCTCGTTTCCGTCAGACTTAGAGGAAAGCTGGGGGCCGGCGGCGGGCGGAGCCGCGGATGCCACCTCGACGACACGGCCCTCCAGCACCGCACCGCCCTTTCCTCTTCCTTCCAGCCCTCCTTCCTGCTGCCGGAAGTGCCTTCCCCTTCCCCAAAGCCAGAACTGGAAAAGACCTTGGAGGTCATTTCTGCCCCTTCCCCATCCTGTCTTTTCCTTTCTCTTCTCTCTATCCTTGTTTACTCCTCGTTCAGTCTGTACCCCGACCTCCAAAAGTGGAAAGGTAATAACAGATGAAAACAAGGGGCATTTTATTAGAGGCCAGGGGTATCAGCTTTGGGCAGCAACAGAGGGCAGCTTCACGTAACTCTTCATGGGGGGCAGTGGGCGAATCTTCCGGCCCGCCCAACCTCCCTTGCGGTGCCACAGCCCACTATCAGGCCTCTTGCCCAGCCAGCGGTTCCGTCCTGCCTTGCCGATGACCCGCTGGTTATGATTAACGTTGGAAACACGGCCTACAGTGGCAGTGCACGTCTCCAGCACCTGACAAGAGAAGCAGAATGTACCGTGGGGACAAGAGGCAGGCATGGCAGTGCTGAGTGCACAGCTCTGCGCGGCTTCCTACCCTCAGTGAGTACAGGGAGAAGACAGGAAACAAAAACAGTAGAGTGTAAGTGTGGGTCCAACAGGAAGAGCGGAGCAGTTAAAGAAAAAGGCTCCATCCTTGTTTGTTTTTGTGGTTTTCTTTTGGAGTCAGGGTCTTGGTAGGTAGCCCCAGCTGTTCTGGCACTTGCTATGTAGACCAGGCTGGCCTAGAACTCAACAAAATCCTCCTACATCTGCCTCTTGAGCGATGAGATTATAAGCCAGTTCCAACCTGACTGTTCAACCCACATCCATCTTTTCCTGGTTTCCTGAAAAGGTCTCAGGTAGCCCCGGAGGCTTGATTCTTTTGCCTCTTCTGGAATGCTGGGATTACAGGCATGTACCACCATGCCCAGCTGAGCAAAGGCATTTCGATTTACTCCAATATGGTGCCAACCTGACAAGGCATGCTCAGTCAGGTGGCAGAGAGAGCAGACAGCTGGAGGCAGTTCCTGGCATCCTAAACACTCGGGAGCTGGTGAGGAACATTCCAGAAGTGCCTTCTTTGCCGGCCCCTCCCACTTGTGCCCATATACCTGCATCTGCCTCTTGGAGGGCAGCTGGATAATGGCTGTTCCGTTCACCTTCCGAAGCAGCACGCCACATGTCCCTAGGGAAGGGAGAAGCAGGTTTGCCACCCTCCACAAATGAGAGGGTGGTTTCCCTGGGGAGCTAGGCCAGTGCTTCCCTGTGCCCTTCAGGGGCACATGAAACATAGAAAACTACACATTATGATTTAGGTTGAAACAGCACACATTCATCCTCTTGTTCCCTGTTTTTTTCCTGTTCGTGGAACAGATGTGGTCCTACGTGCTCAGAGGATAGTGGTATCAGGTACCCTGGGTTTGCCAAATTGTGAGATGTGGGTAGATTCTTCTCCCATACCTGCAGCTCGGATATACTGGGCCCCTCGGCCAGGCTCACTCTCCACGTTGTTGATGAGGGTCCCCACAGGCAAGGCCCCGAGAGGGTGTGCATCCCCTTCCTTAGCAGCCACTGAAAGAGAGTTTCATCAGCGCTAGATCCTCTGCAACCCCCATCCCGTGCATCCGGCAGCGATCTCTCACCTGCCATCCTGCCTATATGGTTAGAGTTCAGGATTGTATCTCCTGCCTTCATATTTTCTGTGGCAATGATCCAACGCTTCCGGCTGCCCCCAGCGACCAGAGCTATGTCTGCAGACCTGTTCAGAATGATGGACAAATAAGCGGACCATCAAGAAGGTCCACATTCTCTGAGAAGCTACAAAACAACAATTCAGACCACACCATCACCACCTCACGTCCCAAACTTGCCTACATGGATCATAGCGGACTGTGACAACCTTCTCCTCAAAGGGTTCTGGCTGGGTTTCCTTCTGAGGCCGGAACCGTAGGAAGTCAATCATTCTATAATTTTGCTTGTGGCCCCCACCAATACCATGTACTCGGATGCGGCCTAGAGTCGAGACAGTTCAGGGATGTGACTCAGGTTAGAATAGCTTTCTGCATTAACAGGCCTTTTCTAGACCAGACAGGAGGACTCCAATATTATATCACAAACAGAAAAGCGGCAAGGCTGGGGGTATAGCTCAGAGCAGACAGCTTGGTTTGTAAGCACCGAGGCCTCAGGTTTGATCCGCAGCATGTGGGTGTTTGGGGGCCATGACATCCTTGCAAAAGGGATGGGGTACCACAAGACTCAATAAAATAAAAATAAAAACAGAATTACTAAAATTGCATGAAACAGACAAAGTCTTTTCAAATTACTGAATTCAGTAAGTTTTCTGAGAGGATATAAATTAGACTCACATAATTTCAACTGTTATGAGTTTTGGGAAGGTTAAAAACACCATGGCACTTCCTGAATAGAGTGAGTTAACTTTATTTTATTTATTTTTTTTAAAGACTTATTTATTTATTATATGTACAGTGCTCCACCTGCATGTATGCCTGCAGGCCAGAAGAGGGCACCAGATCTCACACAGATTGCTGGGAATCGAACTCAGAACCTGTGGAAGAACAGCCAGTGCTCTTAACTGCTGAGCCATCCCTCCAGCCCAAGTTAACTGTTTCTGGGAGGTCTATTCTTCAGCTTCAGTAATGATCCACATAATAAGCAGCACCTCAATGAATACTTTCTAAGTGTGTGTCTGACACCTTACAAGCTGTAGTGCACTGCTATAGACACCCACGATCCTAATTTTCCTCCGTGACGCTGCGGGCCCTTTCCCCCACCTGTGTGGTCTCGGCCCCCAGACTTCCTCATTTTCACTGGTTTAACTGTGTACTTGGTACGACTCTTCCAGGACACAAACTTGGCATGAAGGTCCACAGACATATGCACTGGGCGGCGAGAAGGCAACGCCAAGGCAGCGGGCCGCTGAAGAACATTGCTGAGTATCTGGGGATAAGAAATATTCTCTTCAGAGAATCGAGAGAGAGAGAGCGAATAGACCAAGTTTAGATTGTAGGCCACTTCCTCCCAGAAGCATCTCAGACCACTGTCCCCAACCCGCCAGCCTTCACCTTTCACCAATACCAGTGTGATGTGTCTATCCAGGTGTGTGTATGTGTTGACAATCATTTGGTCCTCTCACCTCTGAAATATTTCTCCAATGTGATGTTCTCCCTTTCATCATCTTCCAGTCTGTTTCAAGCTCTTGTCAGGAAAGCTTTTCTTCCCTAAGGAACTCCCTTCTCCAGAGCTGGTGAATTCCACCCATACAGCGCCATCCCAGTACCAATGCCTTTTGCCCTCTGCATGCTTCCCGGAATTTCCACATGTGAATGCGAACCATTACTTTGCTTCCCCCCTGCTAGAGCCCCAGGGCTTCAGAGTAGTTTGGAATACCAAATACCCATCTGCTAAATTCTGCCATACTCAGCCTGAGAACGTCAGAGAAACAAGATTGGTAATTTTGCTTTTCTGTGATTCACCATTGCCCACTCCTGGTCTAAGTTCTGCATTCTCTAATCTCAGCAACAAGCCATCTTTATATTAAAACGGTCAAGAGCACTGGCTTTGGGGTGGAGAGCGTAGTTCAGTGGTCGAAGGAGTAGCATGTGCAAGGTCCTAGGTTTAATTCCCAGCATCATAAAAAAACAAAAAAGCATAAAAACAAAAGCAAGCTCTGAACCCAGTCTAGTCCCAAAAGGTGTATGACCTTAGACTGCTGACCAGTTTTCTCATCTGCAAAATGTGCACAATAACTTGGTTGAAAGGAGTTCGTTCATCGCGGTCGCCTATTCTGCCTGGTTTACAGTTGGTGTTAAGACTGCTACCTGTTCAGCAGAGATCTGCTAGAGCACCTACAAGCCAGTAGCTGGTCTGACAGATGCAGCCCGCTGGGAGAGCAGTACTTGTAAAGAGCAGAGGATGGAGGCGAGTTGACCCAAGGTCACGTCATCGAGACTAGCTCGCCGGATCGTGACAGCCCAGGAGGAAACAGTCCAGGTAAGCGGATTACCTGGGCAGCAGGGAGCAGAGTCGGAAGCCGGGCGGTAACGGCCGGGGATGCCAGGCTCAGAGAGCGCAGAGCACCGGTGAGCGCGTACAGGGCCATGGGGTGGTCCGACTCCTCGGGACTCGGCACGCTTTTTCCTCCATTTAGAGCCCGGCGCTCTCGGATGACGCTTCCTTCCCGGCGCTGTCGCTCTCAGATGACGTAGAGGCGGCCCCCTAAGGGGAGCGTCGCAGGACGCAGACTTCCTCTCCGCCCGGGAAGAACGGGTCCTCAGCCAATTGACGGCGGCCCCTGAGGTCGCGTGACTGGGGCAGGCCCCGCCCCTCAGAGCCGTCAAAACAATCGCCTTGAGCGGCAGCCATGATGGATTTAAAGGGGCAGTCCCCGTCCAGGCGGCAGCCGGGCCAACCGAGTGCAGGTGAGTCCTTGGGAGCACCCCTGGGGCTGAGGGTTAGGACGGCACCAACCCTCATCCCCACACTCCGGGGCAGGTGACCAAACCACTTCCGACCAACCTCCCGAAACTCCAGGCTGACTCAAAAACCCCGCCCCCCACGATTCTTCCCCGCCCCTCGGCGTCCAGACAGACAGACAGTAGGACAGCCTGCCCCGCCCCCTGCCGGGCCGCCTGACTCCCTGACCTCCAGCTTGTCCCCCTGTCGGGTCTTGGTCAGCGACTCTGCCCTCACTCACAGCGTCCTCCCCTCAGCCCCTGCCCGTCTCTGTGCTCACCCGGGGCCCCAGCGCACGGTAGCAGCCGTAGACACCCCGAATTGCAGCCCCAGGCCAGGGTAGCCCGCGCCCAGCGCCGATCCCTGTGGCCCCGCAGCTCATCAGATCTGCTATGCTTCCCTGAGCCGTCAGGCGCTTGAGAGGCACCCTAAGGTCCCGGCTAGGTGATCATGACAGACCAAGCTGTGAAAGGAGGCTATTGCGTTATTCCAGGTGGGAGTCCGAACCAGGTCTCCCTGCTCAGCCGTTCGTTCGCAGGCACACCCCTGGCCGCAGGTCCCAGATTAAATCAGTCTTTCATTCCCTTATTGGGAGAAAGCAACTCCTCCGACCTGGAACGAGGAGACTGAGTTACGGAAGAAAGGACATTAGTCCTGGTCTCTGAAGAACCTGTCGGCAGAAGGAGGGGGGGGGTGTTTGTCCTGGGTGGCTGTGAAGCGGTGAGAGGAGGGTGGGGCTGCCGGACTTCTGGACTTTGGGCAGTGCAGATCTTTCTAAATCCTTAGCTGCAGTTCAGAGTTTCTTCCGGGCTCAGGCCTGGGAGCCGCCTGAAGCCAAGGGCTCTGCTCTGTACGCAGGTAAGGAGACTTCAAAGATGAGTTTTGTGGAAGCAGGAAGACGGTCCGAAGCCTGGGGGGTGGCAAGGGAGGCCTGAAGGTTAGTTGGAAAGGAGCTAACCAGGCTGGGAGATGGTGGGTTTGGGTCCTTTGCTGCCGCAGCCTGAAGACCTTCACCCTTCCGGAGCCCTGTAATGAGGGCTTCTGGGTCGTAGGTCCCCCCGCCCCAACCTTGGGTCCTGCCCCTTTATTGGAGCACTGTTTTCTGCAGATTCTGTTCTCTTTAACCCTGCTCCTTTTGCAGTTTTCCCAAGGCCCTCTGTGATCCTTGGAATGCCTCGGGTCCCCGGCTTCTCTGTCCTAACCCATGCTCTCTCTCCAGTCGCTAAATCCTAAATTCCTGGAGCTCGAAGCACACTTGTTCGTTCTACAGCTCTTCATTCAGGTTAATCTCTCACCTTCGTCTTTATGGTTAGTGCTATGGAACCCTTACTCATTCCCTTCCTTCAGCCCAGCACAGACAGGTCTCCCGAACGCTTCCCCTCACTTGGATCCCCGACACTCTCTCACAGCGCGTCTCCTGTCTTCACCAGCTGAGCTCTGTGGTTTCTCCCTAGGCCAGGCAAGCCCTCCCAGCCAGGATGTCAGGCCTGGTGTTGGGGCAGCGGGATGAGCCTGCAGGACACCGGCTCAGCCAGGAGGAGATCCTGGGCAGCACCAGGTTGGTGAGTCAAGGCCTGGAGGCCCTACACACTGAGCATCAGGCTGTGCTGCAGAGCTTGTCCCACACCATTGAGTGTCTGCAGCAGGGCGGCCATGAGGAAGGGCTGGTGCACGAGAAGGCCCGGCAGCTGCGGCGCTCTATGGAGAACATTGAACTGGGACTGAGTGAGGCCCAGGTAAGAGTTGGGGTGATGCCAAGTGGTCCAGAGCCCAGAGAGGGTCAGTCACCTGAGGCAAGGGGAGGGGGGGTCACCTTGTCCTCGAAACTTGGATTTGTTCATTCATGAAATATTTATTAAGTGCCTACTGTGTGCCACCTCTTTGGAATGCTGGTGACACATCACAGGACACAACAGTACAATTCTTTGCCGTCTTGGAGCTGATATTGTAGCTGGGAGAGACAGAGCACAGGCAAATAAGTAAATGATTTACCGTGAGAACTGCTAAAGACAGCAAGACGAGATAAAGGAGGGAAGGAGAGTGAGAGGATGCAGCTTCATATAGAGAGGTCACAAAAGACCTCACTCAGAGGGTGGCGTTTGAGCAACAAGCCCTGGAAGAAGCAGGGTCCCAAGCAGGGAGGGTAAGTGCGAAGGCCTTCCTTTGAGCCTGGCTGGCGAGTTTAGCAGTTAGCAAGGGGCGGGCTGGTGTGACTTTCTGCAGAGTGAATGTTGAGTGAGGGGAGACAGAGTAGGAAATTGAGGAGGAGGGGGAGGAGGAGGAAGGGGAGGAGGAAGGGGAGGAGGAGGAGGGACGCCCTTGGAGATGGGGCTGGATCATGCGGAGCTGGTAGGCTGTTCTGGGGTCTTTGCTTTTCCCTTGAGAGAGATGGGAGCTATTGAGATGTTCTAAGGAGTGATGGACTCAGCCTGAGATCCTCTGCCTTCTGGACTGGGAGCAGATGAGAGGGTAAGGGCAGAAACTAGAGAGACCAGGAGAGGCAGTGGTGATCTGGGTGGGAGCCGTGGTTGGCATCTGATGAATGTAAACGGTGGAGGTGGTGAAATGGGGTCCAGGGTGTCTTTTTAAAACTTAATCCGTTTATTTTATGTATATGGCTGTTTTGTCTACATGTCTGTCTGTGTGCTACGTGTATGCCTGGTACCCACAGAGGCCAGAAGAGGCCATCGGATCCCCTGGGACTGGAGTTACAGGTGGTTGTGAGCTGCCACGTGGGTGCTGGGAATTGAGCCCGGGTCCTCTGGAAGAGCAGCCAGTGCTCTTAATCACTGAGCCAGCTCTCCAGCCCAGTGGTTCTCAACCTGTGGATCGTGATCCGTTTTGGGGTCAGACAACCTTTTCACAGGGGTTGTGAAACTCCTGTACACATCAGATGTGCTGCATATCAGATATTTACATTACAATTCCTAACAGTAGCAAAATTACAGTCACGAAGTAGCAACAGAATCATTTTATGTTGGGGTCCCCACACCATGAGGACCTGTGTTGAAGGGTCGCAGCGTCAGGGAGGCTGAGGACCACTGCTCCAGCCCCCCCAAGTGTCTCTGGATGGTAGAGCTGTTGCCACTCAGTCCTGCTTGTTGATTCCTGGGTGCCTCTCCCAGACTGGCCGTCTCTCAGAAGTCCCCTGGATGCTCTTATCCGGAAGACTGTAGCTCATGTGATGTCCCCACCTAGGTGATGCTGGCCCTGGCCAGCCACCTGAGCACAGTGGAGTCGGAGAAGCAGAAGCTGCGGGCTCAGGTCCGCCGCCTGTGCCAGGAGAACCAGTGGCTCCGGGATGAGCTGGCAGGCACGCAGCAGCGGCTGCAGCGCAGTGAGCAGGCCGTGGCCCAGCTCGAGGAGGAAAAGAAGCACCTGGAGTTCTTGAGGCAGCTACGCCAGTATGATGAGGATGGGCCCAGCATGGTGAGCTGCACACCCAGGGTTTGCCGGGACCACAGGCAGGGCAGCGTCCCCATCATCCCACAGGAAACTTCAATGCCTAGCGTGTTCCCACTTGGAAGACTTATTTTCAGCCTTGATAGCTGTCCATTTTAATTAAATGTGTACTCCCCTGGAGAGTGGGGCGGAAGTTCTTCTTCTCCTGGTTAACAGTATGTGGAGCAAGATAAACAGTCAGACAACTCAGACCCAGAATCCTCAGGGCTATGGTTAGGGAGAGCATAGCCCCCTTTATGCAGGAGATTCCCTTACAATTTTCTCTCAGGCCGTGCGTGGGTCAGACCCTACTGAGCAGGTGTTATGTACCCTGGGCCTTGTGAGTGCAGAGGAGGAGATCTATGAAAAGGCGCCTGTCTTCTCAGGCTTATAATGTCTGTGGAGAGCTGGGCTCGTACTTGAGGACACAATGTGACCGGACAAGCAGCAGGTGCACAGTCTGGATGTGGCCAGTCCCACAAAGGGACTTCCACAGAGATAGGTCCCTGAGGGCTGGCATGGTCAGAAGGGTTCGGACAGGAGGTGGGCTGCAGGCTTGGGTAGCGGTTAGGGTGGCAGGTTCACGTAAATGGGTCAAGAGTTGTGCTGGATTTTGTGGGGAGAGAGGAGCTTTCTGCACTGGAGGGGAATTCCCAGGGACGGTGAAGAGATAATTTGCCTGGGACAGACTGGTGAGCCTGTTAGGAGAGTTTGAAGTCTCCATGTAAGGTCACCATCCCTGATGGAGAAAAGCACATTTCCATTATGGAAGTGTGTCCGATAGTAAGGGCCAGGCCCTAAGCCCACACTAAGCAAAGGGAGAAGGTGAGTCCAAGGCTGAGCCAGACACTTTGGGTACGTGTCAGCAAGAGCAGACAGACTCCCTCCCCTCAGGAGAGACGTATAATCAGCGTAAAAAACGCACAGGGATCGGCACAAGGCTGTAATCACCAGAAGTGAGTGTGAGAGAGAGGGAGGCTGAGATAAGGGTGCTAGGAAGAGAGCTTCCTGGGTGAGAAGCAGTCACGAGCCTTTGGCTAAGACGTCCCTGGGTTTTCCATCTAAGAGGCCTGTGCGTGGCTGGGTCAGCTGCTTTTCCAGGGGCGGAGGCCGGGACAGAGTTCGGCCCCTTCGCTTGATGACTTTGTGGCTTAGAGGAACCATTGGGGTCTGGCATGCTGTCCCTTCTCTTCCAGGAGGAGAAGGAAGGAGATGCCACCAAGGATTCCCTGGATGACCTCTTCCCCAACGAGGAGGAGGAAGATTCCAGCAATGGCTGTGAGTCTACCTTTGGGGCTGGAGGGTGATGAGGGGCAACTGGAAGCTGCTTCCAGCTCTGGCCCACTCTGATAGGGTCTCCACATCCACAGACAAGTTCTCCACTTCCTCTGGGGACTGGGTGGGTCCCAGGCTAGGTCTAGAGCTCCTCCCCCTTTCCGTGCCCATCAGTATTAAATAAGTGTCGTGTGCTAGGTTACCAAGATGGAAGAGATGCTGGGTCCACTAGTCAGTTCTCAGTCCAGTGGAGACCAACCCTGGCCTAGAGCTGCAGGGAGTCCCCAGGAGATGCTGGGTCCACTGGTCAGTTCTCAGTCCAGTGGAGACCAACCCTGGGCTGGAGCTGCAGGGAGTCCCCAGGAGATGCTGGGTCCACTGGTCAGTTCTCAGTCCAGTGGAGACCAACCCTGGCCTAGAGCTGCAAGGAGTCCCCAGGCCTTTCGTGACTTGGCTTTGCTGGGCACCCCTAGCACAGGCTTTTTGAGTAAATGTTAGGTGAGTGACTTTCTGAGAGAGTAAATAGGACTGTGACCCACAAGTGCAAGGGTGTGGGTGAAAGAACAGTGGTGTCCAGTCCCCTTTGAGAGCCTGGTAGGAGCCAGCATTGAGACAAAGGGGGGGCATGTTGGGGGGACAGTAAAGGAAAAGGAGGAGTCCTCTGAGGAAATGCCCTGTTTTTTTCTGTCATGAGTTAGTGTCCCGTGGCCAGGTTGCTACAGCAGCCCAGCAGGGCGGATATGAGATCCCAGCAAGGTTGCGGACCCTGCACAACCTGGTCATTCAGTATGCCGCTCAGGGGCGCTATGAGGTGGCCGTGCCGCTCTGCAAGCAGGCGCTAGAGGACCTGGAGCGCACCTCTGGCCGAGGTCACCCTGACGTGGCTACCATGCTCAACATCCTGGCTTTGGTGTATCGGTGAGCACTGCTCTCCTCCATTTCTATGACGGCTCACATCCTGCCTCCTCTCCGCTCTGCTGGACGCTTCCCCAAGGGCGTGTCCTCCATACTAGAACCCTCGCTTTCTCCAATCCCAAACCCTTGACCTCAGAGAATACTCATCCCTCCGGCTCTTTGTTTCTCTGGCCTCTCTGGAGACAGTGTGTGTGTGTGTGTGTGTGTGTGTGTGTGTGTGTGTGTGTGTGTGTGATTCAGCTTGTGGCTTTCTCTGGGGATGGCAGTGATCTACAGCCTGGTGTGTGTCATGAAACTTTATTCCTGCAGCAACAACAGGCTTCCTGACTTCAGGGGAGTCCCTGATCTCTAAGTGTACCCCAATCCTTTCAAAGGAAGGGAGGGGAAGAGGTGGACGGGGGACAGAGTGCGTGCTGACACCCGTCATTTTTGCTGTTTTCCAGGGACCAGAATAAGTACAAGGAGGCTGCCCACCTGCTGAACGATGCCCTCAGCATCCGGGAGAGCACCCTGGGCCGGGACCACCCAGCCGTCAGTATTTCTGGCCATCCACTCTGCTGCTTGGCCTCTTAGCCCTCTGTGTGCTTCCCTCAGTCCACTCACTGCAGCTGCTGATAAAGGAGGCTCGAGAACCTTCAGGCCCTGTCCCCCCTGTCCCGCGAACTCAGTGCTTCTCAGTTCTCTGAGACCCAGTGACTCCTTTTTGTTACTTACATTTTATAGTAGTGTCTAGTAACTGTACAAAGTAACGGGTTTAATTATGACAGTTTCCTTCAAAAAGCCCCTTTTCTTCTATTCTAATTTTATGTGTATGGGTAGTTTGCGTGCATATTTGTGCACCACGTGTGTGCAGTGCCTGTGAGGCCAGAAGAAGCATCAGATCCTACACGTGGGTGCTCGGAATTGAATGTAGGTCCTCTGAAGAGCAGCCGTCACGCGTAACCTCCGAGTCACCGCTCTAGTTAGTACACTTCACGCACGTCTGTGACATACTCTGACCACGTTTATCCTTCTTATTCCTGCTCTTGTCTCCCTTTCCCTCATGTTTCTGTAGGAACTAGGGCTCGAACCCAGGGCCTTGCTGAGGTTAGAGAAGCAGCCTACCACTGAACTTTGACTCCGTGAGTCAATACCCCTAGACCTTTGACTCTCTTTTTACGACAAATGGTTTTTCTTGAAATTTAATTTACAGTTAAAATATCCTACCTGTACATATGATTTCCCCCAAACAGGTAACAGGACTAAAAAGTAACTCCAATGACTATAGAAGAGACAGAGCATACTTTTTAATTACATAATACATACAATACAATGTAGAATAAATAGCTGAGTACAACTATGCTAGAAGAAATAACAAAATAATCTGATGTTGGGTTTATTATAGAAGTGATAAGATGAAAATGAAAGCCAGCCAGGCACGGTGGCGCAGGCCTTTAATCCCAGCACTCGGGAAGCACAGGCAGGCAGATCTCTGTGAGTTCGAGGCCAGCCTGGTCTACAGAGTGAGTTCCAGAACAGCCAAGACTACACAGAGAAACCCTGTCTCAAAAAACCAGAGAAAGAATTGGGGGCTGGAGAGATGGTTCAGCAGTTAAGAGAACATACTGCTCTTGCAGAGGACCGGAATTCAGTTCCCAGCACCCATGTCAGGTGGCTTACAGCAATCGGCATCTGGCACCTCTGGTCTCCACTAGTACCTGCTTTCCCATGTACATCCCCACATATAGACACAAATACACTTCATTCAGAAAGAGCTTTTTTAAATTTTATTTTTAAGATTTATTTATTATGCCTGCATGTACTCCTGCAGGCCAGAAGAGGGCACCAGATCTCATTACAGATGGTTATGAGCAACCATGTAGTTGCTGGGAATTGAACTCAGGACCTCTGGAAGAGCTGCCAGTGCTCTTAACCTCTAAGCCATCTCTCCAGCCCCTCATTAAGAGCTTTTTAAAAGGAAAAAGTTCTAGAAATAGCCTCTAGTAAGGACATAATGCCAAGCGTTTGATGGGTTGTCATAGTTGAGAAAATGAGCAATGATGTCTTTGGAAATGAGGTGGCCTTGTGAGAGCAGTTCCCTGTGATGAACATTACATTACCTAGGCAGGGAGGCTGCATCTCAGCAGCCCTGCGATCTTGACCTCCTTCTGCCCTGTGCTCACTGGCCCAGCAGGGCGTTCCTAAGTCGTCAGAGCCGTACAGCGTGTGTACACACACACACACACACACACACACACAGTATCCACAGCTTTCCCGCCTCCCTTTGCGAATAGCACTGTACTGCAGCCAGAAACCACCCCTAGAAATGTTTGGAAATCCCTCTAGAGGGCGATACCCTCACCCTCGTAGAGCTTCAGGCATTCTGTTTGTAGTTTCCCCCTTCCCAGCCTCTGGCTCTGTGGTAGACTGTGTCCTTTTTAAAGGGGAGAGAGAGGGGTCGACCCAGAGGTCAGAGGACAGCCAGCTCACTGGGGTTGGTCCCTCCGTCCCCCGTGAGTTTAGGTCTGCAGGCTTGGCAGCAAGCGTTCTCCTGCGTGGAGTCTGTGTCTCTTGTTGCCCTGGGCTCTGCTGGGCACGGAGAACTGGGGATTCACCGCAGCACTGGTGTGTGATGGGGTGGCCTTCCTCTGCAGGTGGCCGCCACGCTCAACAACCTGGCTGTGCTCTATGGCAAAAGGGGCAAATACAAGGAGGCAGAGCCATTGTGCCAGCGGGCACTGGAGATCCGAGAAAAGGTGCCCGCCCTCTTCCCCGTCCTCCCCGGCCCTTCACCCTGTCGTCCTCTCTGACTATCTTCTTCCTTCTTTTCCTTCTGCTCCTCATGCACGCAGACAGGCCATCGTAGTAATTTGTTCTTTTGCTCTCTCTCAGGTCCTGGGCACCGACCACCCGGATGTGGCAAAGCAGCTGAACAACTTGGCCCTCCTGTGTCAGAACCAGGGCAAGTACGAGGCGGTGGAACGTTATTACCAGCGGGCACTAGCCATCTACGAGAGCCAGCTAGGGCCAGACAACCCTAACGTAGCTCGGACCAAGAACAACCTGGTAAGGAAGGAAGAGCCAGGGGTGGGGAGGGGGAGGGGAGAGCCTCCCCGAGGATCCTGGACTCAGAAAGCATAAGAATGGGGCACATTCCTTTGCCAACTTGGTGCCTCTCTAGGGCTGCCTTGGAGGATAGAAGGCCTGCTTCACTGTCCTGCCAGAGGTTCCCGTCCTACTGGGGGTTGGCGGGAGTAACTAGCCCTCAGCTGTAGCAGGATGGATGAGGAGGGTCTCAGGGACAGACCCCAAGATGTCTGGCTGAGACCTGCTCCCTCCGCCTGCCTCTTGTTCCTGTGTTTCTGTTCTCTGTCTCTAGGCTTCCTGTTACCTAAAGCAGGGCAAGTACTCGGAGGCTGAGGCTCTGTACAAAGAGATCCTGACCCGTGCCCATGTGCAGGAGTTTGGATCTGTGGATGGTGAGTGGTAAGGTCTGGGAAGGGGGCTAGATCGTGGACCACACATGGGTGGGTTGGGACAGCCAGACCTTGTCAGTCTAGCCCCATCGGCCTGTGGGCTCTGGCTCCCCACATCGTGTCCAGATCTGTTCTCTTACCCCTCACTCAATGTGTCATCCTCAGATGACCACAAGCCTATCTGGATGCATGCTGAGGAGCGGGAAGAAATGAGCAGGGTGAGTGGGGGACGCAGCCCGGGAGCTGGAGGCTACCAGCGCCTCTGGCTCGATCCTTGGGTCGGTTTAGCCCCCGACTTCTTGCCCCAGCCCTCAGTGTATACAGTGCCTTTCCCGCCCCAGCGTGCACCTTAGCCCTGCGCCCACCTCTGCCCAGCATCTTTCTGCTTCCGTCCCCAGAGCCGGCACCGGGAGAGCGGCACACCCTACGCAGAGTACGGAGGGTGGTACAAGGCCTGTAAAGTGAGCAGGTGAGCTGCCCGGGGTCAGCAGGAGGGTCAGCGATCTGGGGTGCTCCTCTGTCTTCTCTCAGCCTTTCCTCTGCCCCTCCCTGCCCCTTTCTGTCCCTTGTCCTTGTGGTGCTGAGGGTTTATGCAGGGCCTGTGTACGCTCGGCAGGCGCTCTGCTGTGGGGCTGTGTTCTCCATTTCTGAATCCCTCTCCCTGCCTTCTCTCATCTCCCTGCAGCCCCACAGTGAACACCACCCTGAGAAACCTAGGGGCTCTGTACAGGCGCCAGGGAAAGCTGGAGGCAGCTGAGACCTTGGAGGAATGTGCCCTGCGTTCCCGGAAGCAGGTCAGAAGCCCACAGCACAGGGCAGTGGTGCCTCTCTGTAATGAGGGAGTTCCAGGCTGGCCTCTATCAGGGATGGATAACAGCAATTGTAGGCACTTGCTGATGTTACACAGGACCCAGGTTCAGTCCCCAGCACCCACATCAAGCAGCTCACAACTGCCTGTAACTCAAGTTCCAGAGGATCCAATGCCATCTTTTGGCCTCCATGGGTACCAGCATGCATGAGATGCACATACATCACCCAGGCAGACACATATACACATAAAATAAGATGAATAAATCTTTTTTCCCCCTGAGACAGGGTTTCTCTGTGTAGCCCTGGCTATCCTGGAACTCACTCTGTAGACCAGGTTGGTCTTGAACTAAAGATCTGTTTGCCTGCCTCTGTTTTCCAAGTGCTGGGGTTAAAGGTATGTATACCACCACATGCAGCCAATAAATAAATCTTTAAGGGGTTGGGGATTTAGCTCAGTGGTAGAGCACTTGCCTGGCAAGCACAGGGCCCTGGGTTCGGTCCTCAGCTCCAGAAAGTTAAAGAGAGAGAGAGAGAGAGAGAGAGAGAGAGAGAGAGAGAGAGAGAGAGAGA